ACATTCAAATGTGCTTTTATTTCTTGTGGCATGGTTGCATATTCTTTCGGTAGTATATTATCTAATTTTCATGCATATGGAAGTGATCTAATGCGTGTTCACAACTTAATGTCTAATATGCTCATCTATCTTGCAACTGTGGAAGTTGCGTTTCAAAAATATCTTGGTAGTTTGGTAGGTTTTAGTGAACTTTGGAATACAAAGTGTACAAGATATTTTGAAGTTTCTTTAGAGGGGTGAATTCTCATGTGAATTGTCTAAGCAACTATGGTCTTGCTCTTGTAGAAACTTATTTCAGGATTGCATTTCTTGTAGGCATTTGCAAGCAATTATATAAGTTGTATGAGATATCACTTTCAATTCAACCATGCTGCCTCTGGTTGAAGGACATATATGAGTGAATTTAACCTAAGATCTGCCAATGCTTTCTGTGAGAGCTAGTGAGGAGGAAATCGTTCATTATGAAAGGATCAAAATTTTTAACCAACCACCATCACACCAAATACGTTGTGTGAGGCTGTCTGAATGCAGCAGTATGTTTTACCATTCATAGTGGTTGATAATCATCTTTTTAAACTATATTGTTTTAAAAAGGGTCCAAAGGTTTCATACATCCATCAAGATGCAGTAATAACTTAATTAACATCCCATTTGTTAAGGGGTTTTGATTTTCAGATCAGCTCATGTATAAATGAAATCTTTTTATCCAATTGGAGAGCATAGTAATTTGTTTTGTTGTGCACGTATTCAGATGCAATTTGGACAATCAGGAAAGGTTTTTGTCCTGAATTCTGTTTGCACTATTCTAAACCTGATTCCAGTTTTGTTCTAGTGTGTAATGGCCAAATTTTTTGATTTTAGTCTCTTTATTTTTGTAGATGGGTGGTAAAATAGAAATTTTCAGATTCACTAGCTACATCTTTCCCCTTTTGTGGTTCAAGTGCCATTACTAGAGGTGGGGTTTTTTTTTTTTTTTTTTTTGTGGGGGGGGGGGGGGGGGGCTGTCCGCCTTTCCTGCTGAGAACTGGGTCATAGATTTTCTATCTGGATCCATATAATTGTAGCATGCTCGTTTGAATTAGACATCGATTAGATCCAGAACCTTGAAACATCAAACACCGACAATGCCAAAGCGCCTAAAGTCTTTTCATTAGGAAGAGAAGCAAGATTGAAAACCACTGCCTGCATTATCTAATTCTTTCATTGATTATAAAATGACAATTGTTTTAAGTTTCTTATTAAAGCGACAATATTTTTTCTTGTCTTGCAGCATTTAGAGTACTCTTTTCTTATCAGAAAGGGAGAGAATTTGACTTTTTCTATCTATAGATAAAGTTGCATTGACCGTCTTATTATTATTTTTTGGGATGGGGGGGAGGGGAGCTGCGATTGTCTTGTCCGCCCTTCCTGCTGAGAACTGGGTCATAGATTTTCTATCTGGGTCCATGTAATTGTAGGCATGCTCGTTTGAATTAGACATCGATTAGATCCAGCGTGGAGAAAAACCTTGAAACATCAAACACCGAAAATGCCAAAGCGCCTAAAGTCTTTTCATTAGGAAGAGAAGCAAGATTGAAAACCACTGCCTGCATTATCTAATTCTTTCATTGATTATAAAATGGCATTTGTTTTAAGTTGCTTGGTCTTAAACTGATTAAAGCAGACAATCTTTTTTCTTGTCTTGTGGCATTTAGATTACTCTTTTCTTATCAGAGAAAGGGAGAGAATTTGACTTTTTCTATCTATAGATAAAGTTGCATTGACCGTATTATTTTTGTGTTTTGTTATTGTAGGATCTTATGTGACTCATGAGACAAAACACTTTGTTTACTTCTACTTGGATTCAAAAGCTGTGTTGCTGTTCAAATCTGGCTGAGGTTGTTGGTAAAAGTTGACAGGTACGATGATGACGATGCTATAACCCGCACGTGTATGTTTTATTTGAAAACTCCTAGCATGCGAAATATATCCCAGACACTCAACTTGTATATTTGCTTTGATATGTATTTTGATTGAAGATCAATGGACTTGAATCTTGCTACCCTAATGTTCTATATTAATTGTTTTCTAGAGCCTCTTCGTAACTCACCAAACGACAAAAAAAAAAAAAAAAAACCAATATGTAGGAACTGTTGCTGTCAACGGGATGGTAAGCTTGATCAAATGACTGCCAGATGAGAGAGGCATACTTGATGGGTTTTTTCCAAACCATGGTTGCTCATCACTCCCGGGAAAACTATGAGCTCCCATAACAAGCTGAGAAATTTCTAGTGATTAGCTAATTGTATATAAGCAAAAATAACTATACTCCTAAATAGTGTATTAGTAGCCTTTGGATTTGGTTACTCAAATGGTTTTCCATTTTTTATGATTGCCAAAATAAAATCCGGCCTCGAATATCAGGCCTAAACCGATAGATACATTATTTAAGGGTAAATTTCTTAGTTGTTGCACGGTGCCTCTCCAAGCCCCTTGTCTTCTGGTACTGAATGTATTTGCCTGTCGATCTTAGTCTTGAAGGGATTTGATATCAAGTTGAAGTTGTATGCATTTTGAAACATCCGGATTATTTGAAGTTTGGTCGAAATTCCCACAAGCCCAAAAAGTAGCTGCACGATGAGAACCGTGTGGCTCCTTGTTGGTTGATACTGTTAGATAGACTTATTAAAAAAAATTTCGAAAAAACTTGATTTCAATAAACTGGCGAATTGTTTTTTGCAAGATGGCGTATGTTGTGGACGCGAGGGGGTGCATAAAGACCCCTAAAAGTGGCAAACACGAATGATTCCAACTAGTAAGGTTCCCTCGTCCTTACAGATTCTAATGCCCTCTCTCCCGTGCTTTTCACTTTCGACTGTGCCCCGAATTTCCATGTTTGATTTGGAACCTCTCCATTTTCATTTAGAATAACTACAATGGCATCATCCTCCCTTTTATTTTTTAGCATTTTCTTTGCATGGCTGGTTTTATGTGTTCAAATTTTCACCACATTCTCTCTCTCTCTCTCTCTCTCTCTCTCTCTCGTGCAAATCATGCACATCCAGTAACACATACTTGTATCTTTCAATTTTAGGTTTGTGGAGTTGTACTAGAAGTAATGCTAGTGAGAGTTAATAAATTGATCTAATTTATTGATATAATGATGTGTCTAATGAGGAAATCAAATGATAAAGTCCAAGAGTTATAGTTATATTCCGTTTATAGTTGACTTTTCTTAGTGCGGAACAATGGCTTGAAAAGTAAAATTAAAAAATTCGAGTTAAAAAAGCTCTTAAAAGAGTTTGAAGTGTGAAAAAATTGATTTTTCCTTGGAAGTTCTTGGATAAACTAATTTTTTTTCAGCTTTTTATTGCTAACAAAGTTGATCGAAACGTCACCCAATAGACTTGGGTCTAAATATATCAGACTTTTTTTCATTTAAAATTAAACTAAAAAAATTGAGATTTTTAGTTAGCTCTAAATAAGTTCATTGTCACATCTTTATGTAAATAAATGTCACATTTTTATTTCAATAAATTATGCACATTTTTATTTCAATAAATTATGTCAATTTTTTAAGCTTCTATTATTGTTGAAGTAGTTGTTCATGATTAATTCTCGAGCAATACTATTAGAACTTAATTTATTGACATAATTTATTAATCTAATTTATTTTGACTTTTGGATTCACTATGAACCTTATCAAACATTAGAATTTGGTATTGATCCAATGATTTTTATAAAATCACATCATTATGTCAACAATTTAAGTTCATATAGTATTACTCTTAATTCTCCCGATAATTTATTAGTGGAGCCCAATGAATTTAAGGATATTATAGTCCCTTTGGAATGCTGACCTAAATGGGAGCTTCCTAGTATGGGTTTCCTCAATTGCCAGATACTCTTGCCAACTTCCATAATTGTGAAAGCTCAGATCTTCAATAAGTTAACAGTTTTGCGGTTGTTCATTTCCTAGTGTTTTTGAAAGAAAACCAGCATGTTCTTCACTACAAATATCTCCATCATGTGCACAATATTTGAAAAAAACAATTCCATACAAGGTAAATTGTATGGATATTTCCTCACCTCTTTAAACTTAAAACTCTTTGAACTTCAAACTTTGAGTTATTATCAGAAAAACATTAAGGGTGAAAGGACCATTTCACACGTGACAGAAATCACATTAACCGTAAAATGATTGTTTTACCCACCCAAAAAAACGATTATTTCATTAGTGAAAACTTTGACAAGGGAGTCTCCATATCATTTTCTTAAATATGGATGAGTTAATTTCTTATTAAAGGTTAAAAAAATACTTAACATGGGAATTAAAAAATACTTATTCCCAATCCATCAGAGAGATTTAAGTACTAGTTATTCAGCCATGATTTCTGTTTCAAGTGGAGGTGGTGCAGACAAATAGTTTTTTTAATATTATATTGACAAATTAGTCTTAATTGAAGATTTTAATTTGAGTTGTTAATAACAAATATAATAATTTTTTTTTAAAATAATATGATCGGATGACTTTCTATGTATCCCATTTTAATTATATAAACAAGTAAAGTATCCAAAAATGCTAATATTATTTAAATTTAATTTAATAATATAATTTATCAACTTAGTTCATCATAATTATTAAATTAGTAACTAGTTCCAAAAAATAGTGGACCGTTTGATTACTATAGGTGATTGAATCAAATATAGATTAAGTCCATCAATTAAATTTAAATTAATTATTTAAAAAATAATGTCAGAAAATCAAAGTCTAATCCGGACTCTAATCAAGCTTTTCCATTTCACAACTGAATGGGTGAGTACCAAAAATACCCTTCAACTGACACAGCCCGCAGTTTTAAAGGCCAAAACCAATGGTTTCCTGACAACGGGACACAATCCATGGGCTGTAATGAAAGCTACTGCCTTCATACCAGGAAACAAAAAGAAAAAGAAAAGGACATCAAAGTCATTACAAAATATGAGAAGGGCAAAGCTGGAAAAGATTCTCCAAACTAAACTCAGCACGCAAACCCATTTCCACCTTTTCTGGCCCCCCTGCGACTACGTGAAGGAGAAGGAGAAGGAGAAGGTGAAGAAGATGATGATGAGGTGGGTGGTGGTTTCATGGCGGCCAATGAGCAGTTTTCTCTCTTATTCTTAGTCTTGAACGTCTCTTCTTCGTCCATGAACATTTGCCTGCACCTGCACTCCACACTGCAAAAAGCTTTGTCCCCTCTGTGTTCATTCCAGGGTATACAGTTAGATATATATATATATACACATGTGTGTGTGTCCATATATATCAACCAAATCAAGTTAGGATGAAAAACTCATCAAAATCAAGCCAACTACAACCAGATCTCACTGAAGTTCTAAATAATTTGAAAAAGAAACTGTTTGTTTGTTGAATATATTATTGTGTATAGCAAAAATAGTTGCAGGGAAGGTTTGACGATGGTATGAACCAGTTAAGTAGGATCTGGTATTTAGAGAGAGAGAGGAAAAGGAAGATGTGGTTTTGAGAGATATGCTTACTTGTACATGTAGATGTCTTTGCCAGGCAAGAGTTTCTGTTTGCAGAGAAAACAATGGTCAAGAAAGCTAGTTGCCGGAAAATTATTTCGGCAAGATGTGGAGGGAGAGGGAGGAGCACTAGGAGAAGAGGGTTTGATCATAGTGGCTTTATTGATAACTTGTGGAGTTAGTTTGCCATTAAAATTTTGGGCTTCAAGCACTACACTCAGTCCCACCATCTCATAGTCTTTTCCTCACCAACCCTCTGTCTCTCTGGTGGAGGTGGTGGCTATGGCAAGGTTTGATTGATGGAAATTAAAGGAAAACAAATAGGAATAGAGGGAGAGAAACTGAGAGAGAGAGAGAGAGGGGAGAGGGGGGGGGGGGGGGGGGGGGAAGGTGGGGTGGAATGGCACAAGGGGAGTGGTGGCCCTTCCCACGAAGCATATAGGATAGAGAAAGAGCAGACACAAGGACGACTAGCGTAGCAATTGATCTAACTCCTAGTGCTTGTTACTTGCCACGTACCCTCCATGGCCTTCAATTCTTATTTTCATTTCATTTATCTTTCTAATATGTTGTCATTGTTTTTGTCTTCTTCTTCTGTTTACTGTTTAGGATTCATTTATGGCGGTTCCTTTTTTATTTGTTTTGATTTTTGAGCAATGAATTGGATATAGTTATTAATTTAATTTATTAATATAATTTTTCATAATTATTAGAATGATAATATATCCCAATATTTATTGAGAGTTTAATTAATTTTTTGATAAATTAAATTAATAAATTAACTTAAATAACATTTTTGTTGATTTTTTTACCATGAAGGTTTGATAGCCCTAGTTGCCTCTCTAAGCAGTTGAGAACGAATAGGCGTGATAACTAATGGGAGTAAAAAGTTTTCAATATGTGTTGAATTCAAATTTTAGTTAATTTTTTGTCTTTAATTAAACTGAAGAGAAGATTAGTCGAGGTACGCGTAAGTTCATCTAAATACTCCTGATTACCGAACCAAAAAAAACAAAAAAAAAAAGATTCCAAGGTTTATTATCAAGTGATCTTAATTTAGACTTTTGGAAGAAAAAAAATCTCAAAGAAAACGGCGTCTTTAATGGTTTGTAACCCGTGAAATCAATTAAGTCTTACGTATTTTTTGTGTGTTAATCATCTGAATTATTATCAAACTCAAACCTGTTATAAGCAATATCATAAAGGAAACTATAATTAAAAAGTGTATGTCCATAATGAAGTTTATGTTGGAATAGCTACAAATTCGAGAAGAAAACACCATTTTCGTTGGCCACAATGGTGTGTTTTGGTGGGGATGCCTTTGACATAAATAACTCAAAATCTGTGAGCTAGGCGTAGCCAAAACCAGCAGCAACGTGAATGACAAACAGTGAGCTAAGTAAGTATCCAAGTACTAAAATTCTCTTTTATTTTATTTTTTAAGCAATGTTATGTAGATTTAAAAAATAAATTTTAAAATTTAATTTAATAATGTAATTGTGATTAATTTTTGTGATGTAAAATTAGTGATTAATTTTTTATATTTACATTTTGTTAGTATATCTTATTCAAGTTTTATGCTTTTAATTTTTGGATTCTTATTTTTACAGTTGACATATTTAAAACCCAAAATTCTTGTAAGTAAAACAAAGTGTTAAAACTAAGAGAAGGTTTAATAAAAATAGAACAATAATACATGATAAATAGAGATTGTATAAATTGATTCTTTTTTCATCTTTTAAATTGTCTAATAAATTATACCTTCACAAAAAAAAATAGTGAATTAAATAATTATATTATAAAAAATATAAAAAATAATTTATTAATGTTTATATGTGTATACACAAATCATGGAAAACAAAAGAGTTTTTTTTTAGTGATATGAGTAACTAAGTATACATTTATTTTTTAATATAGACTAGTTAGTGTGTGTGTGAGATAGAGAGATTCATTTGTAGACTTTAATTATATTACGACATTTGATATTTTAGTAATTTGAGCATTGAAAAAGATGCCGCAGGTGATTAAGTTTTTTGTGTTTAAAATAATAAGTGAAGACTAGAGACATAATTGGGGCCCTCTGTTTTTTTTTTTTGAGGCCCTTGGCGATTGTTTAGTTGGCCTATCTATTGGGCCGGCCCACCTGCAGCTTCTTAAATTTATCTTTTTTTTTTTTTTTGTATTTTTTACACAAATGAAATTATTGCAAATATCGCATATTTCAACCCCGAAGCATACCAATATGAAAAGTGTTAGGTTCATGGAATAACAGGGGATTAAGAGGTACGATCGGATAGATATAATCCGAGGTTTCATTTATTTCATGTTTGGAAACAAAAAATTGTGTTGGATAACATTTTTGGGCATATCGATTGAACATATACCCACATGCATGGGCTTAATTTTCTCATGTTTGGCTCTTACCTTATACCACCTCATTGCAGCATTTCTATGGATCTTAGTGTTGGGCTATTACTTGGGGAAAAAACAGAACAAAGTAAGCTTTGATATCTATGGATCGTATGCATGCAAAACGTATGGATGATCTGCTAATGACCAACAAAACATTCCATGCATCTTAGAAAATAAAACTTGGTATGGAAAATTATTACCATTTTAAGTTGGGATATGCTTTTCGGATCGACAACACAAACCCTAGATGCATGCAATCGTCTGCAAATTACATGTAGTGATTAAATCTATGATTAATGTTGCGGGTTTATACTTTGTTCATTGCTCAACCTGTACGAACCATCCAGTTCGGGTTGATTGATGATTGCTAGGAATTTTCTTGAACGAGCAAGCGTCTTTCTTTTGTTGCGCAAGGAAAGCCAGCCAAAATACTTACCCTAATTGAACTTGAGCATGTCAAAATGTCTTGGTTTGCTTTACTTCATGTGATACTTGAACCAATATTGCCAATTATCTTAGTGATTTTTTACCCTACTAAAAGTGACCGGACCGGACCGGAGATTAGTTGAAGTACGCGTAAGTTAATTTAGACACTCTTAACCATTAAACTTAAAAAAAAAAAAAAGTGATTGTGTGATGCTTTTTTTACCGTACTCGATGAGGTTGAAACATGTTTTTTATCTAATAATCAAAATTTCGTTTCAGTGTATTATTTCGGTTACTTAGGAAATGAAAACGTTTTGATCCATTTCAAAAACAGAATGAAAAAAAAAAATTAAGAATTTTTTTTAAAAACATTGGTCGAAATATACCAAAATATCTTGAAATATCTTTAAACATTCTGAAACAATTGTGTAAATGGATTAAAATATAATTAAATATTTTGAAACATTATGGAACATATTGAATTATTAGAATTTCGATTTCATCATTGATTTGTTTCGATCTCCTTAAAAGGGGAAAAATTTCGGATATTTCGAAATGAAATTTTGATTCTTGTTTCTATCATACTAAATGTTACAACTCAATCAGAGTAAGTTAAAACTGAAGTAAGTCACAAGTTTCGCTTAATCCAAAAACTTGGGATTAATCTTAACCCGATTCCCATTTTTGGACCTTGTTGAATCTTTACTTTAGTCTCTTTCAGTGGAGCTTGACAGTCACTCATCCTCAAAATTGACCATGTTTTGCATTACCTCTGCTGTACTTTGAGATCGATCAGTATATACAAAGTAACACAAAACATCCATGACATTAACTTAGTACAACCTTATTTGTACTGAACTCAGGCATCTGAATAAGAAATATCCATTTAGGTAGTTTTTTGGAAGTAAGCTTTGATTTACTTCCACTGAAAGACAAACTTATAGATCCATATCTTCAGGACAGATATCATATCATGATGGTCCCTATGATTTTGAGTGGCTTTTAGAGCATTTCAATCTATCTACAGGGATTATAGCACTTAAAGCAGCATATTTTGCTGGCTCTATTTGGTTAAAAAGAAATTCACGATATAAAATAAAAAAAGTAGAAGTGAAATGAAAAAAAGAAATGAAAAAGAAAATTTATTTTTAATATGCATTTGACTGGAATGAAAAATTGGTGCATGGACTAAATTATCATTATCATATTGATATAAAATAAAAAAAGTAGAAGTGAAATGAAAAAAAAGAAATAAAAAGAAAATTTATTTTTTAATATGCATTTGACTTGAATGAAAAATTGGTGCATGGACTAAATTATCATTATCATATCGATATAAAATAAAAAAAGTAGAAGTGAAATGAAAAAAAAGAAAATTTATTTTTTAATATGCATTTGACTTGAATGAAAAATTGGTGCATGGACTAAATTATCACTATCATATCGATATAAAATAAAAAAAGTAGAAGTGAAATGAAAAAAAGAAATAAAAAAGAAAATTTATTTTTTAATATGCATTTGACTTGAATGAAAAATTGGTGCATGGACTAAATTATCATTATCATATCAATCTAATGGGGAAAAAGGTAAGTGGGCAACTTTTACGAAAAATAAAAAATTTTCTACATAATTTGTGAAAAACCAAAGTAGATGTTTACAGAAAATTTAATACTTGACGGGAAAAAAACTTTCTTGAGATATTATACCTTCTAGATGATCAAAACAAAGGAAAAATTGTCTTTTCTTTTTTTTTCATTTTCCTACACTTTCCGGTGTTTTAATGCTAACCAAACAAATGGATTAAGTGGATTTTAATGTAAGAACAAGGTTCAAGTCTATCGGTCTGCATCATCAATGTTACATACCAAATAAAAGAAATGTTCAAGAAGGCCGTATAATTCTTCGGAAAGGATCAATTCGAACCTTCTAATTGTTTTTGCTAGACCAACATTTTCTACTGGAGAACCGGTAAATATTTCTGCTAATAAAAAAGGTTATGATAAGAAACATGCAAAAGTGGAGTAATTAATCTCCATATCTTACTAATGAACTTTAATTTTGTGCTGCATGCCATGGCTCATCATAATTTTGCTTGCCGACTTCTCACTGTGTGTAAGTGATTTATTCATAAAATACATAGTAATATCCTCTCAGAATGATGCCTTTCTCATATGTCTTATAAACTTTTTTGGAATCAAACAATTGTATTTGCCTGCATGGATCCACATCTCTTGTCTTGGCTTCACTAGGGTTGAAAATTGGACGGATCTCTAGGAACCCAAGCTGAAATATTTAGTACTTATATAGAGATTTC